ATCCATCACTTGTGTTATCTGCAGAAAAAATGACAGAAACATTTAATATCACTTGTATACAAGATTCTTCTGCTTTCCAGCAGTGCCAAGACTTCAGAGCAAAATATCTGAGAAACCTATCTTTAATCATTCATTCATTGACTTCTGTTAAAGAGAACTAAGAGATGTATTTTATTTTTATTAGTCTGTTAATTTATTTATTTATTCATTTTTTTGACAAGTACAATTTACAAAATTATGAAAATGCACATCTGGTTACTAAAGTTGTCTTCAGAATAGGGATGCACTGTACTGACCATCTTTTATTGAGTGTTACTGTTTTGGGGGAAATGGAAAAAAACAACAACAAATTAAAGGGACAGAAAAAAATATCTTATCCTTTGTTGGGCAAATTGTCGTCTTGTTTTTTCTGATCAGATGTCAAAAATCCAAAATCATCAATTATATTTTCATACAAGACAAAGCAAAGAAGCACATGATTGTCACCAGTTATATTTGGGTAATTTTCTCTGAAAATGTTGAAAATAAATCATCTGTAATTAGAAAACTGGGACGGGACTAGCATTTTGTTTAATATCCAGAGTCTCTTCTTTTTTGGTAAGCTGATATCATAGAGAGTTAAAAAGGAAGTGTCAGAGCAAACCAGAGCAACAGTAAGACCAAAGCCTGAAACATACACTCAGCTACACCATCTTTCTCTGATTCCTCTTCCTGTTCATCTCATCCTTCCTCATCTCCTCAGTCTCTTTGCCGTCGTCACTAAAGGGAAATTCTGCTGAAATCATCTATGGACTCGTGCTCACATAGATGTTCATACTTGGAATTTCCCAGTGTTCTTTTATAATTTGGATTTCCCCCCCCCCCTCATAGATAATGTCTATACATTAATTTCCTTGTTGTCCATCGACCCAGTATCATCTGTGCTGGTTGGAATCAGAGCGTAACCACGTGGGTGGTTACTGTAACATATTCGGTTTAACAGTTAATGAGCTCAGTTTGTGTCGTTTCCCCCTCTCTGCAGGAGTCTCTGTGACATCAAGCAACACAGGAGTACCAGATATTTCAGGGTCTGTTTACACAAAGACGCAGGTAACTACAGAAATATTTACTCACAGGATATGGTTCTGCTTGTCTTGTAGCAGCAAACAAAAAAACACTATAGTGGCCCAACTGATTATTCTTCTTCCTGGTCCCCTGCAGTCGTTTGAGAAGCAGGGCTTCCACGCCGGGACGCCAGCCGCATCATTCAGCCTGCCCTCTGCGCTGGGCAGCGGGGGCCCCATCAACCCTCCTGCCGCTGCCGGCTACGCTCCAGCTCCATTCATGCATATCCTGACACCACACCAACAACCCCACTCTCAGATTCTGCACCACCACCTGCAGCAAGACGGACAGGTGCAGTGTGTATATATAAATGCTTACGTATTTGAGGTCATGTGATTTTTAGAAACAAGCTGAGCAAATAAAAACATATACAGGCATTATTCGTTGACAAGGAAACTCCACCCAGTGAGTCAAATAGTAATGATCAACAGTCTGAATGAGCTCAAAAATGCATAGGCTGAAAGTAAAAGATGGAAGTGTGTCGACATCAGTTTCCCCGAGCGGTGACCAATGCAGCGTCAGCTTTAGAGCCTGAGATCGGGTCGGCTTGACCAAAATTTATGGTCAATGCTGAAAAATGAGTGGGTGACATCACTGTAGCTCCATCTTTTATATTCAGGCTGTTAACTAGTTGACAACTTCCAGTCTTTTTGATAAAGCACATTCAAAATAAATGAAGTAGCACTTCAGCATCATGCAGTCAGACTGTTATAAGTAGTAATACAAATCTAGTGAATTGCCTATAAAAGATTTGTTGGCAAGTTCATTAAGTGTTTGTGGTTTCACCGTGACATTAGCTGTGCTGCTTTTAGGTAAACACATGGCACAAAGCGGCAGCTCACTGATGAACTTTGTGACTCTCCTCCACAGAGCGGCACTGGACAGCGCAGCCAGAACGCCTCCATCCAACAGAAGTCTCAGATCAACAAGTCGGCGTACAACAGCTACAGCTGGGGGGCAAACTAACATCCACTCACGGGACCTCACCCCGCGCAGTGTCAAAAAGCTGGGAGGGGTGGGAGGCTCTTCACTCCTTCGGCAAATAAGTCTCCACGTATAAATCCCCGCTTCCTCCTGCAAAGATTTCCCTCCAGTCTCTTGGCCCAGCACTCCCACAGCTCTGACCGCGGTCAGAGGAGGTGCTGTGCCGAGAGAACGAGCACTGTTAATGATGCATGGATGGATGGGTGGGAGGGACAGGAGGGGCTTTAAAAGTGAGGGGCGATCGGAGATAAATGGTGATAGAAGCAAACCATCAAGAGGGTGAAAATACTAAGTGTTGGGAATTTGTATCGTATTAATCTTCCCGCCCCTTGCGCCCCCCCCCCCCACATTTTTTTCCTTTCACTTGTAACATAGAACTGTTTTTCTAAAAGAATGAACGTTTCCTGTATGGTCTTTTTTTTTTGTCTTTTCCCATTTTTTTCCCCACTGAAGGGGAGGAATGAAGTAATCTCTAAAAGGGGGTGGGGGCAGGCTGGTTTTGTATTTTAGACCCTCAACTCCCTGTTACTTAACTTTTTTGCCGGAAATTCTTCCCTCCTGAACAATTTCCAAACACAATAATTTGCCGTTGACTTTTTTTATGTTTTGGGGTTTTTTTGTTTTTGTTTTTTTATGTCATTTTAAGTTTGCAGAAACAATTCTATAAATTGGTAGAGTTGTGAAGTTTATTTTTTACCGAATATAGATATATTATATATAAAGACATATAAGCAAGCTCACTGGCTTTGACTGTGAGGAAAAAGTGTGTTTGTCATGTGACTGCGTGCATGTTTGTACACACGGGGGGACCATGGTTGCGTACTGTGCTTGGGTTTTTGTTTTGTTTTTGGTTTTTTTGCCTAGCACAGGTTTTCCATTATCCAACACTTGTACAGAAACTTTTCCCATTAATTATAAATATTTCATAAGGCCCCTCTTATTTTGAAAGATGAGAATGATTTCCAAGGCCAATACACACCCAGTCTGCCTTCCAGTGTGAATAATTTTGTTTCTGAGGCCCTCCCTGCCCCGCCACCTGTCCCCCCAACATTGTAAGGAAATCTGCAGCATTGAATACTGATGGACAGAATTGTACTATGGGTTTTTTCTTCTTTTTTTTTTTTCTTTTTTTTTTGTCAGTGATTTTTTTTTTCTTTTTGTACTGTGCGTTTTAAAAAAAAAAAAAAAAGTTTAAATGGATAAACTTGTCTTGTACATATATATAAAAAAAAAAAACACAAGTACTGTAGTCCCTGTTTGTTCGATGGCTTTCTTCTTTTCCTTCTTAAATCCTTGCAGACTTGTTAGCTTTTTTGTTTTTGTTTTTTTTATTTTGTAAAAATATATAAATATTAAGTAAATAAACAAGAAAAAGACATTTTCATCATTTTGGATGTGAATGTCTTTTTAAGAAACGACATTTCTCATGTGGCATTTAAATACTGCAGCATCTCTTCACTGTCATTCAGTACAAGCAGTTCATGGATGAAGTGCTTTCCAGTTGGTTTCTGTTAGTGGGCTCAGTCACAACAATATCCAGGATGTCAAGAGTACCAAATGAAACTCCAAACTTATAACTACATCACACATTTTTTGGTCATGTAATGTGCGGTATTGGTTCGGGGTTTTTCTTTTTGTACATTTTACCCTCCATCTGTCTTGGACACACTTTAGCATTTTATGTTTCTCCATGATATATTTTCTACCCCCTCTAGATATGCATCTTGGCACCTTTCTAGCAGGCACATCAGAGACAGAACTGTACTTTTAAATGCATCCCAAAGGTGCTCTGTTGAATTAAGGTCTTTTACTGTATTAAACGCAGCTAAATTTTACTTTACTGGCTCAGGCTTCAGACTGCTCTAAACACTTGGTCTCTATTAGGTTTCTTGTGCCAAGCTCATGTCAGCTTAGTATGATTTTTTTTTTTTCCCTTTTTCCCAATATGTGATTACACCTTGCAAGCACTAGCTTATGTTTTTAGAAGCCTAGTGAGTTGCAGCCAGTCAGAAGACATTGGGCTCTCAATGAGTGGGCTTGAAAAGGATCATTTCCGCCACTGGATGAAGTGAGACATAGCAGAAATTGGATTTCTTAAACTCTGAATCATGCAAAGCTTCTGTATTGGAGCATCAGAATAAAAAAATAAAATACTAAAAGCTGTAAATGTTCTCTCTAAATGAGCTCTGATCCAATTTGGCATAATTGTATTATACTCTGATTTCATGAGATATATATGACCCATATACACTTACCAGTTACGCCTTGCTAGCAGCAGATTGTACTGTTATGAAGGGGGGCTTCATAACTGCTTAATTTTTTTTCATGGCACTGGAAACATTCCTCAGAGATTTTGGTCCCCTTTGACATGATAGCATCACACAGCTGCAGAAGATATCCATGCTGCACCTCCATGATGTTCCACTGGATCCCAAAGGTGCTCCATCGGATTGAGATCTGGCGACCGTGGAGGCTGATTTTAAAAACTCATTGTCATGTTCAAGAAGCCAGTTTAAGGTGCATGAGCTGTGTGACTTGGCCTGTTATCCGGTTGGAATCAGCAATACTCAAGAAGGCTGTGTCTAAATTGTACTAAGGGGACCAAAGTGTGCCAACCAGCAGCAGCCTGAACCACTGATATAAAATGGTTCCAAGCTTTCTGTTGTCAATACCAAATTCTCACCCTACCATCCAAATATGCAGTTGAAATGGAGACTTATCAGAAAGGCAACTTTTATCCAATCTTCTGTTGTCCATTTTTGTTGACTCCATGCAAACTGTAGTGGTCTAATTCTGGTGTACCGTTCAAGGTGGTTGGTCGTACTGTTACCTGAATCTCAACAGTGCGCTTTTATTTCGAGTGCCCGTTTTATCTATTATTTACGGTAAAGTAACATTACGACAGATTGCGTCATGATAAATCGTCTAGAACGCTTTACGACACTGTTGACAGCTGTAGTACTTCTTGGCGAGTTTCTCTAGTTGGTGTCCGTTGCTTGCACATTTCAAGTTATGGTTTAAGTGTCCACCAAAGCTGCAGTTAAATGAGTGTTTTTGATTTATTTCGCGGGTTCTTCGGGGTACCCGGAGGCCATTATCGTGGCCGGAGGTGAGTTTATGGCGTCGGAGTATGTAGCTGTACACTCGGCTACGCTAGCTGAACTTAGTACACTTTCTCTGCGTGCAGCTATGTCAGGGACAAGATTAGTGTTTTCTGCCAGGAAAACCACAGGGGTCCTTCAGCTAGATTTTGGTGCTATTTATGCTCACGGAGTTAATACGATTGAGTACTTTGAGGTCTGTTTGCTGGTGGCATGTTGTAACGCAGTTTCTAAACCAAAGGGAGATTTCAAAGTTTGTACATTTGTGTTACTTCGTCTATCAGGGACCCTTTCTTCGATGCCATGACTCATGACGACGATGAAGATGATGAAGATGGATTCCACTATGATGGGTTCAGTGGGGACCAGCAGGACCCATTTGACAGCGCCTGGAGGTTTGGCTTCAGTTTTGGCCCGGACGGGATGCGGATTCAGGACCCCCCGATGTTTGGCCACGTCCTCAGGGAGATGGAGGAGATATTCTCCCAGCTGGGTCGTTGGGAGGGACATCCAGAGTCTGGACGCTTTGGTATGAAAACAGACCCACGAGCCCCGTTTTCATGTTGCTTGTTTTTAACGAAATGTAACAAAACAAACAAACAAGTATAAAAAGTGTCAGTAAAGATGTACGGTGTACAATTCTTTCACCCTGGAAAAAGAAATAATTAAAATCGCAAAGTTAACCATAACATCCATGCCCATGAAGACTCAAATTCTTACCACAACTCGACATGTTCCTCTCCTCTGTGTTGAACCTTTTTGCTCTTTTGCCCTCTTTGTGTTTTAGATGTTCCCCACATCATGCCACCACCACCGTCTCAGGACAGAGCAGAGAGAGGACGAGGAAGCTCCAGTGGAAACCCTCTGAGAGACTTTATGCTCAAATATCCTGACAGCGACACACAACAACGATCCAGAGAGCCCCGAGGTGATCACAGACCTTCTTATGAGTCACCTGAATTTCATGGCCGGACCCCTTTTTCCAGGGTAAAGGAGATATTCACTCCTCCTTCTTTGTTTCTGTTGCGACACAAGCGGTTGTATATTAACTGAGATTTTTGTATTGTGTGTTTAAAAGTTTAATGATATTTGGAGACACAAAACTCCACAGGAGGAGCACAAAGGTGACAGAGGTGGGTGCTGATATTTACATTTTATTTGATAATTTAGTGGAAGCTCTTTTAGATTGTGTCAAATTTATTTTCTATTCCCATCCTGATCCTCCCAAGATCTGGACTCGGCTGTGTCCTCTGATGGCTTGGATCAGCTTCTGACGCCACCTGCTGGTCAGGCACCCAACCAGCCCAGAACTCGGTCTTTCTTTCAGTCTGTCACTGTCACTAAGGTGGTGAAGCCTGATGGGGTGAGTGTTTCTTGATTCTGTAATAATACGTTCATAGTGATTCTTTTAATAGTTTTGTCTCCGTTTTGATGAGCATTTCGTTTGCGTGTGTCAGAGTGTAGAGGAGAGGCGTACGGTAAGAGACGGCCAAGGCAACGAGGAGACCACGGTGACTCGCTCGGGAGGTTCTGGGATTTCTGGGGGACCAGATCATTCGAATGGACCCGTGCTGCAAGGTCAGCCTGTCTCTGGTGTGTTCTTTGAATTGTTTATCTGACACACACACACAAAAATCCTGTATTTATTTTTGCTTTTCTTCCAGGTGATCCCCACCGCTTCTCAGACTTGCGGGATGATGGCTCATTATTCTCCAGGTTCTTTGGAGGCTTTAAATAAAATGTGAAGGAGTTATTAGAGATGTGAGCTGGCATATTTATATTACGTACCAATGTATGGACAAATAGTTTCACGGTCTTTCTTTGCCAAAACGAATATGTTGGATAAATTCTCGCTGGCTCATTTAAGATGAAACTGGAAGTCCAAATTGATCATGCAGGATCGAAGCTGCAGATCCTGAAAGCTATTGATGGTGACACACTGAGACACATGAGACGCTGAACAATTCACGTTTCCATATTTTATTTTTGTATTGTCCTGTAGACAAGCCTGTGTGGATGTGAGTGAGTGAAGAATTAAATAAAGACTCTTAATATATGTACAAAGTTGTTTGGCTCATATTTTTGTTAGTAACAGTCTTCAGATTTTACATGATCAAAAAACAAAACTGCACAATATACTTTTAAGCAGAACTTAAAAAAATGCTGGATGTATCAAATATGATACAATTTAAAATTCATATAATTTTTAAAAATTTGACACTAAGTTCCATAAATGCTTCATTTTCTGGCAAATATTTCGTGGTTCAGGCTCTACAGGGTCACAATTTCTATCACGCGTCATGTACAGCTCATTTAAACCTCGAGTGAGACGGACCAGTGGCGTTGCCCTTTCTCTTAATTTAAAGGAGCTTACACATTTAACCGTTTGTGTCAGTTTGTCAACACGATAAAGAAATGCTGTTGTTTTAAATGAAGGAAATCTGTCAGTCCAACTGTTTGTGCTTAAATTATCAGAAGTAAACTTGTAAAATTACAGAGTCAGATCTGGTAGCTCAGCGCCCGGACTGTGCTGTAATTATAAAACAAGTTTTTCTTAATTCAAAGAAAAAGTTGAATGTCTTTTTTTTTTTTTTTTTTTACCGCGTTACAAAATGAGACATTTCTATAGCAGACGGTGCTAAATTTAAACTTTTTTTGACATTTCAATGTTTGTCGGTTACTTTGTTGTAGTGAAACATTTTTTACATCTATGCTCTCCACATTTTTCTAAGCCGTCCAGGCCTTCTGTTTGACACTCCTGCTTTAAATGGTTCCTATTATAATAATCTCTGGCTCCATATGTCTAATCTTGACTGTAGCAGAGTAGCATTTTTTTTTTTTTTTTTCTTATACTGTACCTCAGTGCAGCCAGTGGAAAAAGTCATTTTTGGTTCATCTGTCTGGTGAAAATCTCAGAGGGTTTGAAAAGCAGTTAGTTGAGCTTCTGTGTTCAAAGCCAGAGAGGGATATAAACTAAAGGTAATGGTTTAGGCTAAAAGGAATAAAATAGAAATACAGATGCTTTTGTTTTTTTACATTGTAAAATTTTAATCAAGAGGAAAAATGGACAGGCAAAACAAATAACAATAGTTTGTCTTTTTTCTAATCACACAGAATAAAACAACACATAAAGCAACTAACTTTATATTGAAAATTGATGCATATGTAAACAAATGAAATAAATGATTTTCTTTTAAACACACATTGTATACGAGGGTTAAATCACAGTGACAGTGGGCAAAGAATTAAGAAAATCAGTGAAAGAATAGAAGTTGAAAAACTGATAAGCTGGGTTTTTTTTCTACTTTAAGAAATAATTTGGGGATTGGTTGCGACATTTTGTGAAGAGCGGTGTAAAAGTCAGTATTTTGTGCTGCATAGAAAATACCTCGAGCGGAATGATGGGAAACCAAACATTTAGTTAGTTTTTAGCTCTGCATAGTTCTAGTTACAATAACCTTGGAAGAGACACATGAACAAACAAATGTTCATTTTTGAGTCTAAAGGGGTTTTGACATGAATTCAAATTCTTCCAAGTCGATCAAGTCGTCCTCTGTTTAACTGTGTTTACGAGGGTTTATAAAACCTTTTCTCATTGGTCCATCCTAATCAGCTGATTCCACATAAACCTTTTCCTTCTGCTCTGCAAATGAATGTGTCAGGTTTTCAGTTTCTATGTTTACAGGATATTAATTTACGTTTAATCAACATTAAAAGGTGCTGGATACTCTTTGATGTGCGAGGTCTTGCTGCTGTGCTCAGTTATTAAGAGGAGCGAGGATAACGGGATCTTTCCTGTGGAAGCTGGCTTCATATATATCATAATCAAACTATTGTGATGCCGATTCAGAATTTATGTGATCTGATACTGCATGGATGTTTGCATTCACTTAAATATCAGTTGTACTCTTTTTATTTTATGTGTTATATTTGTTAGAAAAAGAGATTTTAACCTCAATGAGTCTTTTTCCTGGATAAATAGAGGATATATATTGCGTGACAACAACTTTTACGAGGTAGTCATTTTTAATGGGTTAAAATGAAGTTTAAATGTTGGCTTAACCAAGCAGAGCTTCATCTTGTATCATGTTATCAATGATGTGAGGTCCTTTTGCTGCCCTTTGTCCACAGATCCCCTGTGATCTGTGAACCGTATCTGGAAACCACTACAAAAACCAGAGCCCCTCTCACAAATGTCCTTTTGCTGGGTGGGGTGAGAACACAATCCAGTCTGTTTATATAGAAGTGCATTTCAATCTGATCATCTTTTGACATGTTTAATTGTTTTTATGTTTTGTAATGGTTTTCATCCTGTGGGAATACTAATGATCCATGTTGAGAAATATAGCAGTGGACGTAACATAACAGAGTTAAGATCTTAAATTTCTTTTCCGATCAAACGGGAACAATCAGATCCAGTGCCAATCAAATGAGGAAACCCTCCACTGAGCCACTATCGAGCTTTTGGTGCACGGACTGTTTTTCATCGCGCATGCTGTGATTAAGATGTCCTGAGTCCACACACACTCATAATCACGTCAGCAATTCCATAAAGTGTGTGACGTAGCCTCCACCTCCAGCATGAAAGAGCAAACTCTGCTCAGCCAGGCAGACGGTGCAGTTCTGCGGGTCAGATCCACCCGATGACACCTGCCCAGCTCTGAAAACACACCTGCTCCCAGAGTGTGTAGAGGAAAGCTCAGGGATGGAGAGGCTGCTGAAGAAATGTCAGATCAGAAACCAGCTGATCAGGGAGTGCATGGCCGAATGTCTCGGCGTCTACGTCCTGATTGTAAGTGTCCTTTTCTTCTTCTTCTTTCAAACATTTAAGATATAGTTAGCTGTGTAGGAACTTAGTAGAACTAAAAAAACAAATAAAGTTCCCTCAGTTCAGCCAGTAAACTCAACATGAAGTGTGTCAGTCAGTGAGTTTCTTGTAAAATGCCCTGCTGGTTTGTTTAGAGCACCTCATAAATCTGCACGGTGTATAACTAAGGACTTTGGCCTGAATGAAACGGACAGAGGGTGACAGGGACTGCAGGGGAAGGGGGGGTAAAATTGGACTCTCTTGTTAGTGATTTCCAAAGGTGATATTCTTTTGACTGCAGTGCTGTTGTTTTATCTCTAATGACTATCTGGGGCAGTGAACATTTACAGCACAAATCATAAAGCAGCTCTTTAGTTAAATAATAAAAAAGGATATTGCACCAAGTGTGTCAGAACATGACGTCTCTACTGTACTGCATGGTGAAAACATTCAAACTGGACGTATGTTGAATGAATCTAAGCAAGATAAAATGCTGCTATTGTGGATTAATCAGAAAATGAATTTGGGGAGGTTCTGAAGATTTTGAGAGTTTGGATCATTATCCACTGTTTTGATTGGGTACACTCGTGTATATATTCGACTGCTAATACTTCTCTTCATTTCATGTAATTGCAGCTGTTTGGATGTGGCTCTGTTGCCCAAGTGGTCACAACTGAAGACAAAAAGGGCCAGTACCTCTCAATTAATCTGGGTTTTGCTCTGGGAGTAACATTTGGGGTCTTCGTGTCTCGTGGAGTATCGGGTAAGGGACTGAACGAAGTTACTGGGTATGCAGAACTGTGATTAGAAGTTTACATACACTAATCTTTGCCATTAATGTCATGGTAATTTGGGGAATTATTTCTTTGCACTGTTCTTTTTCCAGGGTGGAATGATTGTACAGCATACATCTTTACTGGTTTCCTTTAATCCACACAGGTTCAAATATATACACACACTGACTTAAATCTTTTAATAAGCAGTGCTGAGGGGTTTTTAACTTGACAAGGCCAGAGCCTTTTAACTTCTTGCTAGTGATCATGAATGACTACAGTTTGATAGTTTTTCATTACCAGCATGAAGGAGCATGACTGACTCCACACCTGGTGACAAGTCTTACCCTGATCAACAGTTTTGTCTGAATCCCAGTTTAGATCATAATACCTGGAAATGAACTCTTTGATGTGTTGTTTGGAACTGCCATTAATATTATACTAACCAAAAATGCAGAAAAAAACACCTTACATAATAGTTATAAACCGATTTGCATGTCATAACTGTGATTTCTTTTTAAGGTGCTCATTTAAACCCCGCTGTGTCTCTGAGCTTGTGTGTTCTGGGCCGCCACTCATGGGTGAAACTGCCTTTCTACATCTTCTTCCAAGTGTTGGGAGCCTTTCTGGCTGCGGCTACAGTTGCTCTGCAGTACTACGGTGAGTGTTTAACAGTGAGCCCAGGTACAGCAAGGGAGTTGATAATCATCAATTGAGGCTTTTCAAATCAAATAAATCATGTCGTTTGATAAGCTCTCGCTCTCATGTCATCTCATGTTGTAACATCATTTGTGTTCTGGAAACGTCGCGGCTCTGAACAATAAACTGTGTTTTGTGTCTGTTTGATGATGCGTGCGCGATGAGATGTTTGCAGACGCCATCCAGGCGTACAGCGGAGGCGATCTGACGGTGACGGGTCCCACAGCCACAGCAGGCATATTCTCCACTTACCCCGCTGACTACCTGAGTGTGTGGGGAGGTATCGTGGACCAGGTCAGCCCTTGTTGTTCTTATTAGTTAAGGATCATTCATCGTTATCAGGCTGACAGATAAAGATGGTATAACTGCTCAATAGTCGTGTGAACCTGTATCCGGTTGTTCAGTCTGACGTCACTAGCCGTGTCTGGGTCTAAAACTCCGCTGCAGGTCCATATATCAAACGATCACTATGGCATTACTGAGAGTTGAAAAACTGTCTAAAGTCTTTCATCTTTAATAAAATGATCAGCGTTCTGCTCTACCAGGTGTAACAATTGAGTTTAACATCCAGGCATCCATGAAAACGGAATTTATGACATTTAACGGAGTTAGAAGTTAGCAGGGAGTTAGCTCGCTAGCTTCTATCTAAATACAATATAGCATGTCCTGACTGCGGGGTTTTGGAAACAAATTAAAACGTACAGCTCTGTTATCACTTCCAGCATAAATGAAGACAGAAAACTAAACAGCAGTGACGTTTGTAGGGTTACTGAAGTTGGGC